CTATTAAGTAAGCTTGAAAATTAATTTAATAATGATTTTACAGTATTATTTTTTATTTTTTTTTTAATATTCAAACACTTCTTTAATGTTTAAATTATTTATTTGAAATACAGCTTTAATGACAACTTTTTGTTGCTTTACCTTTGAAATCTATGCATATTTCTCCATTAGCTACAGGTCACAGTAATTTAAGAGTCATCCAAATACCAAAAAATATAAATATATCAGTTGGAGACTACACTAAAATCATCTGCATTTGGCAAAAATCTATTGAGAGGTGTAGAACGAGCTGTCATTTTGTTAATAAAGTGAACATCTATCCTAAAAGTATATAGTCAAAACGTCTCTATCCATCCAACATCATGCATGAAAACAAAGATCTGCTAGTCATCAAATCTGCCAGTGTAAATGAGACTGGATTTTACTGCTGTGAGATAATTATTGAAATACCTTTCTTTAATAAAATACATTGAAATGGGATAACAGTGATTGTCGAAGAGAAAGGTAGACTAGCAAGAACATGTGTATGCCATTTCCCTTATCATAAAGATTCTTCAGTTTGAAATATATTTTGCATTTCCTGCTTCTCCCACCTTCCTCCCTCAACACTCTGGATCTCAGGACGGAAGAGACAAACACAAAGAGGGCCTGAACAATTATTAATGACAATTGATTTATACTCTCTGCCTTAATATCTCCTGTGTAGAGTTTGTTTTCCTCCATAAGGATTTGCTAATAGGAATTATTACCTAAGGTTTACGAAAGTGCTGTGCCTGAGCTGTGTGTTTCACACAAGACCCAACCACAGTTCCTCCTCCTCAGAGGAGGATAGATGTGAGACCCTGAGTGAATTTGCTGTGTGGTTACAGGGGCCTGCAGTGATCACATGGTTACTCTGCTCAGTAATCTGTAACCTTTACTAACCATTTTATTTTTTTATTACAAGTTCATAATAAAAAGTGATAAATCAATATGGATGATAGAGCAGTATGGACCCTATGTGGATTTGTGTCCATAAGATTGTTGTGGCTGATTGTTCTATATGTGCCATGTCTCCCTGTTTTACCAAAGTCATATGCTAACTTTTACAGGGGAGCAATTTAAGGTCCTAATTCTGAGTTAAAAAGTTAAGCATTTAAAAGCATGTATACATTTAGTATTCACACACATTAAGATTTTCAGCAGTAGGAGTGAGATCTGTTTTACCTTAAGTTATTGATATAATCTGAGACAACCAGAAGACAATTTACCTCACTTCTGTTATACAACTAACTCAAGACATTATGCACCAGTTCTGTAAGATGCTGATCTTCAGCTCTCTTTATAGCTCTCAAATGCAGTGAAAGACTAGGAGAACTAGCTATGATTAGACCTTTAGCACTATCAAACATCACTCACTGACTGGTCAAGTCACAGGAAGCCTTTCCCATCATGCAGTACACTCCAGTTTTGGGCAGTATTTTATACTATGGGTCAGCTGATCCAAAGGGAAGCACAAAATTATCAAAGATGTAGAAAATATCAGTGCCAGAGAATCCATGAAGTAGTGTTCAAAATAGTGGAAAATGAATGTAGATTATTTTAACACTTTAACAGTCGTTTAATGTCTACAATGTGTTAGGGAATCTGATCTCTTACTTGGTCAAGTACAAGCAGAAAAGACTTGTGTTAAATACTGGGAGGAGGGGAGTATCAATCTGCAGGAGCTGTAGGAGGTTCTGACATTACTGATCATCAGGCATGCATCCCTCAGCAATGGGAAAGTGACCTTGCACCTGATTCACTCTTGAAACAGTTTTTAATTTTGACTGCCTTTTCTTTTCCTGTGATGTTCTTTTATCTTTGACCAGTACTTCACTTTATATAAAATACATGATTGCAGAAGATTGCTCACTGGAAAGGAGATGTTTGGAAAAATGGACCACCCTTCCTTGTTCCGTAGGAAGCTTGTATCTGTGCTAAAAAAGAAACAGCACTCCACCCTATCTGGTGAGTTACAGTATTTCCGCTAGCACATACAAGTTACATGCTTGGTTTGAGATGGCTGGAGAGATGAACTTAAGAGGTATTTCAGTGTTTAACTTTGCTCACCTGGCCCTGGTCTGCTGAGGCATCTCGGGCTGGCAGGAGGGATCAGAGGCACAGCTTGTAGTCCAGGTCAGTGTTCTTGCAGCCACTTGCTTTCATTATTTATCTTTTGAGGAGAGTCATCACTTAAACAGGAGATCTTGACCTGGCTAAGGTATTCAAGGATATCAGTTCTGATAATTTCTTGCTGGTTTCTGACTGAAAAAGTGAGGAGCCAGGACTTAGCTCTGCATCATGGTATCTTATTCCTGGTAGTGACAACTGGAAGTAACATCTGAAAGACTCAGCCTTGAACACATGGTTCATAGTTTTTTCCAAGCTGTGATTTCATTTTAATTAATTATTAATTTGGGTTGGTAAGGGGCTTTAGAGGGCAATGTTTTTTGATCATTTGGGTTTGGGTTTTTTGTTGTGTTTGGAGGGGTTTTTTTCAAAATCTTGAACTTTAAAGGTGGAAGAAGTAATAGGAAAATAATGGTGAATGACAAAGGTGCAGGACAAATATAAATGTAGGGCAGCAGTGGGCAGAGGGCTCAGATCAGTGAGGTAATCTAAGGCAGCCTCTTCAGTAACTGAGTTGTTTTCAGCTTATTTCACTTACAGCCTGAATACCACTCTAGTGCCTGTCATCAAGACTAGTTGTACCAGAGCTCTGCACTCTTCATCTCGGTGTTTATCGAGCTCTGGGGGAGTATGGGTGTGGCTCTGGAAATGGGCAGTAAGCAAGCACTGACTGGAACTTGGGAATTGCTGAAGTCCTGCACAGCTTCCTGTGCTGACAGGAGAGCAGGAGCAGATGCTGGAGGTGGAAGAGCTTCATGGGAGAAATGAATCCACCAGGAAAGCAGTTGTGGAAAACTCATCATGTAATTATGCTGAATGGGTAAGAGGTTTGTAAAAAGACTCTCACTGTGAGAGGATTTTCAAAATGAGACACTGGGGAGTGGAACAGAAGGCACACAACAACCTGCTGTTCCTAGGACAGCATCTTCCTACACATGAAAAAGGTTTAAAGTAGAGAAAACACACTCCAAAATAAGAAGGGGTGTATTTATGTAGTGGCAAGGTATTGAAATCTGTTGTTATATTTAATAACACTAAAATTGTCTGGAGAAGAGGGCAGCAAAAAGCAGAGAATATCAATATAGAGAAGACTGAGTGAAAGAAAGAAGTGTAGGAGAAGTTAAAAATGGCAATAAAGTCCCTTCATGTGTAACTGTGTGCCAATCTCAAGGGGCTTGGATCAGCTTCAGCTCATAGGGCCCTTCGAGCAGGCAACACTTGCCGAGAGCAGGTAGCAGATTTCTGGCAAGGTCCTTTCCCATGCAATCATTCATCTTTTAATTACATTAAAACATCAAGTAGGCAAGGGAAAGAATCCCCAGTTTAACCCTTGCATGGGTTTCCATTGCAATCAGCTGGACAGGCTTGGGCAAGTCACACAGAGGTGATGAAAAATGCTCAAGCCCAAGGTCACAACTGCAGTTACTGAGCTTACAGATTCCCAGGTTGTCCTGTAAGAGAACAGCCTTGGTTTGGTCACATTGGTACTGTGGTCATGGAGAAAGAAAATATCAGTGTGCAGATAGTGAAACAGTAATATCTATCTTTTATTGAGCAATTGTCATTGCTCTAAGAAAAATACAATACCTGTGAAAATTCATTCCCTGTAAGTAGAGTGCTACTGAAGCTAAGAGACTTAGCTAAGAGACTGGAGATATCATTGAAGAAAATTAGAAGACTACAAGGCATAATGTGGTCTGGTCATAGTAATAAAATATTCTAATTACTAGCTAAGAAGGGACTAATCTTCTGCTTGTTAATATTTCATGAAGATGTAAGAAAACAAGGTTGAGAATGAGAAAACAAGCATCCTAGGGGGTGCTGAGTGAAAAGTTCATTAATAGCCAGTTACTGCTTAGAATTTGTGTGGATAAGACTGCTCCAGAAGATGTGTGAATGCAATTATAATATTTTGCAGCTGCTTTATAATTTAGCAGCTACCAGCCATGGTGATGTGTCATGACATAGATTCAGTATTTTCCTTCATGTAAACAGGCCTTTTTGCTGTTTTAGTGGAAGCAGAAATAGTGGTTTCGTAGTGGCATCTTTTTAAATGTTCAAGCAAAACTGGATGTTATAAATCATCTACTGCTAACCAGTAGGTTAGTAAAGCCAGTACATACAATGTGTATAGACACCACATTTCAAACAAATTAAGCCAGTAGTGATGAGCAAATACTATGGTGTCTCTGGAATTGCACTTACTGCCTCTCAATTCTGTATTGTAGAATATAATCACCTTAATTTAATTTTTTTTCTGATTATGAAAAAAGTCTCTACTTACTTGGGAAAAGCTAGTCTCACACTGGTTTATAATATAACTTAGACTTTTCAGGTTTGGAAATTTGGTGGATATTCTGGGTAGGTTTGGGCATCATTTCTAGAACAGTGAACATGAAGGTTCTGCCCGCCTCTGCAAGGCTATTTACAGTCTCATGCCTTTTTTACAATTCATGGTGTTGAAAAGGCAATCCTGTAACACAAAATTGAGTCAAGCCATGGATTTTATTCTCACCTGTATTGTATGTCACAGCAACACTGAGCAATTAGGTCAGGGGACAACACATAGCTGCAAGTACCCAAGGTAACTTCAGCTGGGAGTGAACATCCTCATAGCAGAGCTGCTTCCCGTATCTGTGCTTTTAGTAGCACTTGTCTCTGTCTCTGGAGAATCATCCCATGTTTCCTCAGCTGAGAGGCTCATGGAGTGTTTCCCAGACAGTTCTGCCAGCTGCAGGGGAATTTGGTCTTTGAGGGAATTCCCAGTGCAGTTGATGATTTTTTTCATCAAGTTCTGCAGGTTTCAGCCAAAATCTAAGCACTTTTGTAGCATTAGTGCAAACTTCCAGCTCATGGCAGCATGCATAATGCTCACTGGGGTGTTCTGGTTGTTCAAAATACAGAACTGTGATCCAGATCAGTTGGCCATCCCTACCTTGCCTCCTGTTTGACATTTGTCTGGCAGGTACCTCTCTGTGCTGAACATGGTTCATCAGAACACAGACAGCAAATCCACCCATTTATTTGTTATGCCATCTCAACTTGAGAATTTGGTTTTATATATCTGTGGGAATAGGTGTTGTGTACATTTCAGGCAGACCCTTAATTCTCATGTTTTGCTAAAGGACTTACCTATGTATGCTTAGGAATAGGATGACTTTTGCACTGTCCAGAAAAGCATCTGAATACCACAGCAGTTTGCTTCATTTTACTGCATCTAAAGAGCATCAACCCAGAGGGAAAAGTATGATGAAGTTTTTTGGAAATATCACAGTTAAAAGATTAAGGGGATAAAAAAGTTTTCCATTTCAGATTTCATAGAATCTGATCTACATTGGAACTTGACATCTTTAGTACGATAAGTATTTTGTGCCTGCTGCCTAATAAACTAAGAGAATTGAATCTGAACATAGTAAGGCTTTGCCTTTCAACATTAGTACTGAGACTTTATTTTCCTCTGTAATTGTAACTTCATGACCTGTGTTTCTTTGTGTGTCCTGGGGCTGTGCTGTGTCATGGGTAAAGTTCATTTTACCTCTACTTTATGGGTAAAAGTCTTCACTGGTATTTTCTTTGCTTTTTAAGGCTGTGTCTATGCTTTATGAATCACTTGAATGTTTTTGCAATGAATCAAGAGGAAAAGATGACAAATCCACTGCAGCTATTGTATCCAATGGAGCAGATGAGCAAATCTCACAAACTAGGGCATCTGAAAAGTCTAGAATGAGACAAGGATCTGCCATCTACTTTGACATTCAGAACTAAACAAAATATGTCTAAATAACTATGAAACTGGAAAATATGGTAATTTGCTGCTGAAAGATGGATTACGTGTTTCCTGTCAAAAGCTTGTCAGTGGGACAATACACAAGAAAAACAGTTGGTTCTAAGCACTTTTTGAATGTTTTGTCACTAACAAAATATTATTCTAAGGAGTCTCTGAATTTGGAGGATATGTCATTTAGAAGGCTGTTTTCAGTTCTTCTCTGGTGTCCAAAAATACTATGTTACCATGCCTTGAAAAAAAAAATTCTAGACTGAACAACATTCTCCAATAAAAGCATTCCTTCAGGAAACCCATGTGTGAGTAGGAGATGGTAGAGGAAAAAATGCATGGAGCCTGAGCTCTGAAACTGCCATCAGTGCTGACCACATTACAGACACAGAGGCATTCCTGTGGGAAGGGACTGTCAGTGTTAATTCATTCACAAACCAGGAAAAGTCTTCCAGAGAAAGAAGTCTCCTACACACATATACTAGGTTTAAATGAAGCTATATATATATATATATAAATAAATGTATAATTATTGTATAACTAGTTGAGGAGGGCTTCTTGAAGGATATATGGGTGGTAATGCTTGTTCCACTTTTTCAAGCTTTAAAGATTTTTAAAAAACCACTGAAGAAAAACCAAAGTTGAGAAAATTAAGGAGCTTCCAAGGTCAGAACAAAGGTGAAGAGTTTTGACAGCAAAGCTAATGGCAGATGTCCAAGGGCTGCTGAATCTGAAGAGTGGATGTCTGAAATGTGAATGTGTTTATGTACCAGGGCTATGTCACCTTCTGTGAATGTTTTTTAAAATCCTGGCGGGCTTTGTCCTGAAACTCACTATTACAGATCCATTTCTTTTACTGCATGGTGAAACTCTGTCATGTGCCATATTCCTTCAAATAATCAGAGACAGGGCTGCTCTGGATTCCTCCAAACCCTGTAACTTTGTTTGCTACACAAGAAAGTCATAATCTGTAAAATGGTGACCTTCAGCCCAAGTCCCTGTTCAAGGAAGCTCTCAGTTATGCACCAGAGCTGTAAATGCATGCAGTAAATTTTGGTCTTTCTATAAACTGCTGCTTACTTCTCTGTTTAATCACAATGAGGTGTTCAGTGTTCAGGAAAATGTTAAAACCACAGCTTAATAGTCTCCAAATCCTATTTTTGTTACATTTTGCTTAAATGTGGCTCCTAACAGCAAAGAATGCTGCCTTCTTAACAGCTGCTTTTGTCTGTTTACATGGCCATCTCTAACATCTGGCCATTTCCAGCATCTGGCAGTAGAATTTATCTTGACCTATTTTTATCTGTGGCTGACAGTGGTGGCTATGAGCCAGCAGAGTATTTTTAGAGC